CTTAAATGGATATTGCATATATACATAAAAATACAAAATATGTTCCTATGTGTTCATTTCTAGGTGAACAGACTTTGGAATTATATCTCAATCATCTATTCAACAATAGAAACAATGTATCAGGAGCTCAGGACCATAGGGTAATCCTTTATTGTATAGTGTACCTCCCCCTCTTCTGGTGGTTCACCTGCTGGGGGTTTTTCCCTGTAAAGCTGGACCTCAAGGACTGTAGGGAGTCTATTCCTGAGCATATTCGGAGTAGATATATCATATAACCAGCCCAGGACACACAGGATCCTTCTCCAGGAACAAAGCATAGACAATTGCACTTGTGACATTTTTTCACAATTTTCAGTATCTTGCCCTTGCATCCATGATCCAACCTTTTAATATATAATGAGCATAGCTTATATTCTTGCTTCTTATGACCAAGATCAGCTCACAATAGGCTGGAGTTTGTGAGCTAGTGTGCATACTTGCCATTTTGCCTGATAAGGGGCCCATGCCTTCAAAACATTGAATCTTCATAATCAGAAACCTGGGGTACATTTCAAATATCTTAAGTATCATAGACATAAATTTACAGACAAATCAACCAAGAATTGAGTACTGAGGAAGTGAAATGGGTAAGAAATTGAGTGTGGGAAACTTCAAAGACCCAAAGCATCGAAAATGGTTAGTTGAGCAGTGGTAGGACTTTAATGCTGGGTCAACTCATATGTTCACTATATCCCTTCTACCCACCCCCTACCCTCAGGGCAGTAGGCAGTATGGGTTCCTTGGGTAGTTTACAATCTATCCTACATATTTGTAATGATATTTTTGGCCTGAATCATATATAAATGTGACTTTATATAAAAGATGTCTACTGTCACTCTCCACACATCATTTTGCCTATCATTACATCAATCCTTCATGAATATTTCTAAGCTTTTAAGCTATTATAATGGATGTATATGGGTGTTATTCCAGGTCTCTGATCACATCACAGGCTTGTCATGTTGGATATCTCGACATAATGTGCAAGTCTCGCTATTAATATTCATTCTTTATCTTTAGACTCACTTACTGCACACATGTATTTCATTTGTCATTATTGATGTTTTGGATTTCTTTAGCTTATATCTTGGTCACATGGTAACCAATGGACGAGAAAAGACTACAAATAAACTCACCTAGACTCGGACTACAACCTTGATTAAGCTGACTACTGATTCCCAGATACCAAGTATCAAAACCAAATACTGAGTACCAATTACCATGTACCAAGTACTGCGTAATGAGTAACAAGATAACCAATTGACAAGAAAAGACTACCACTACACTCACCTGGACTTGGACTACAACCTTTGGTAAGGAGTTAAGCATAATAACAACTTTCATTTTTTCATTATTGCTGATGTTTTGCTGAATGACAAGGAAAGACTACCAAATCACTCACCTTGACATGGACTACAACTGTCATTTTTCATTATCATTTGCCTATATTGACTACCGAGTCTCGAGTACCAACCACTGACCACCGATCACAGAGTGCCGAGTGCCGAGTACCGAGTACCGATAGGGAATAGTGTGGGTGAACCCCGGGGTATGAGTAGCACTACCCCCACCCATATCCCATGATATACCCACACCCACCTTGTGGGTGTGGGTTTTTTGGTGGGTATCAGGGAGAAACTACCGAGTCTTGAGTACCAACCACTGACCACCAATCACCGAGTACCAAGTACCGAGTCCCGAGTCCCGAGTCCCGAGTCTCGAGTCCCAAGTCCCGAGTCCCGAGTCTCGAGTCCCGAGTCCCGAGTACTGAGTACCGAGTCCCAAGTACCAACCACTGACCACCGATCACTGAGTGCCAAGTACCAAGTACCAAGTACCAAGTCCCAAGTCCCAAGTCCCAAGTACCGAGTACTGACAAATACAATTCCCAGGTTATTTGAGCCCTACACCAATGGATAATACATACAAATACAATTTGTGTCCATTTGAAGTACCGGGTTTCAGGTTTTGACACTCGACACTTGGTGATTTGTGAAATGAGTGAAAAATGGACATGTTGTGTACATGATGTTGGGTTTCGGGCTTTGGGTCTCGGCCCTCGGCACTCGGAACTCGATGATTTGAGTAATGTAAATGAAAAATCAACATGTTGCATGCCGGGTTTTGAGTTTCGGGTTTCAGCACTCAAAACTCAGTGATTTGTACAGTGAGTGAAAAATGGACATGTTGTGCACATATTTTCGGGTCTCGGGGTTCGGGTTTCGGCCCTCGGAACTCGGAACTTAATGACTTGTGTAATATAATTGAACAGTGGACATGTTGCACACCTGGTTTTGAGTTTCAGGTTTCAGCACTTGAAACTCGGTGATTTGTGCAACAAGTGAAAAATGGAAATGTTGCATACATATTTTCGGGTCTTGGGCTTCGGGTCTCGGCCCTTGGCACTTGGAACTCGATGATTTGTGTAATGTAAATGAAAAATCAACATGTTGCATGCCAGGTTTCAAGTTTCGGGTTTCAGCACTCAAAACTCGGTGATTTGTGCAATGAGTGAAAAATGGACATGTTGTGTACATATTTTCGGGGTTTGGGGTTCGGGTTTCGGCCCTCGGAGCTCGGAACTCAATGACTTGTGTAATATAATTGAACAATGGACATGTTGCATGCCGGGTTTCAAGTTTTGGGTTTCGGCACTTGAAACTCAGTGATTTGTGCAACAAGTAAAAAATGGACATGTTGTGCACATATTTTCGGGGTTCAGGGTTCGGGTCTCAGACCTCGGACCTCGGAACTCAATGATTTGTGTGACGTAAATGAAAAATCAACATGTTGCATGCCGGGTTTCGAATTTCGGGTTTCAGCACTTTAAAACTCAGTGATTTGTGCAATGAGTGAAAAATGGACATGTTGTGTACATATTTTCGGGTCTCGGGGTTCGGGTTTCGGCCCTCGGAGCTCGGAACTCAATGACTTGTGTAATATAATTGAACAATGGACATGTTGCACACCCGGTTTTGAGTTTCGGGTTTCCGCACTTGAAACTCAGTGATTTGTGCAACAAGTGAAAAATTGAAATGTTGCATACATATTTTCGGGTCTCGGGCTTCGGGTTTCGGCCCTCGGCACTCGGAACTTGATGATTTGTGTAATATAAATGAAAAATGGACATGTTGCATGCCGGGTTTTGAGTTTCAGGTTTCAGCACTCAAAACTCGGTGATTTGTGCAACAAGTAAAAAATGGACATGTTGTGCACATATTTTCGGGGTTCGGGGTTCGGGGTTCGGGTCTCGGACCTCGGACCTCGGAACTCAATGATTTGTGTGATGTAAATGAAAAATCAACATGTTGCACGCCGGGTTTCAAGTTTTGGGTTTCAGCACTCAAAACTCGGTGATTTGTGCAATGAGTGAAAAATGGACATGTTGTGTACATATTTTCGGGTCTCGGGGTTCAGGTTTCGGCCCTCGGAGCTCGGAACTCGATGATCTGTGTAATATAAATGAAAAATCAACATGTTGCATGCCGGGTTTCGAGTTTTGGGTTTCGGCACTTGAAACTCAGTGATTTGTGCAACAAGTAAAAAATGGACATGTTGTGCACATATTTTCGGGGTTCGGGTCTTGGACCTCGGACCTCGGAACTCAATGATTTGTGTGATGTAAATGAAAAATCAACATGTTGCATGCCGGGTTTCAAGTTTTGGGTTTCAGCACTCAAAACTCGGTGATTTGTGCAATGAGTGAAAAATGGACATGTTGTGTACATATTTTCGGGGTTCGGGGTTCGGGTCTCGGACCTCGGAGCTCGGAACTCAATGACTTGTGTAATATAATTGAACAATGGACATGTTGCATGCCGGGTTTCGAGTTTTGGGTTTCGGCACTTGAAACTCAGTGATTTGTGCAACAAGTGAAAAATGGAAATGTTGCATACATATTTTCAGGTCTCGGGGTTCGGGTTTCGGCACTTGGCACTCGGAACTCAATGAATTGTGTAATGTACATGAAAAATGGACATGTTGCACACTGGGTTTCAAGTTTCACGCTTTGGCACTCGAAACTTGGTGATTTGTGCAGTGAGTGAAAAATGGACATGTTGAACAATGGGTTTCAGGGTCTCGGGTTTGAAAAATAGCATAATAACAACTTTCATGTTTTCATTATCATTTGCCTATATTGACTACCGAGTCTGATAAGAGACCCCTTGGATGATTCATTGCTCAATGAAATACTACCTGATTGGAAGTGTGCTGGTTATCAGATATTCATTTGTCGACTCCCGGGTCCCGGAACTTGGAAGTCGGTATGGTTGACCCAAATTTGGGTGGTCAGAACTTGGCATCTCATAGGGCAACACAAGCTTCACACCCTGGATTCCAAATTCTGCAAGACAACCTGTGCACCATCAAAGGCCACGTCAGGAGATCACCTGCTGCTCCGGGAACTCAGGAACTTTGATTTATTACCTCCTCTGAGTACGGTTGACCCAAAGGTTGGTAATCGGAACTTGGCTTCTCATAGGGTAACACAAGCTTCGCACCCCGGATTCCAAATTTTGCAAGACAACCTGTGCACCATCAAAGGCCATGTCAGGAGATCACCTGCTGCTCCAGGAACTTGGTAACTTTGATTTTATTACCTCCTCTGATTTGGTTGATGTACAACTACCTCAGCTCCATCGTGTTTACAATTATGATACACATGGGCCCACCCATCTATATTTTATACCACCCTCGGCCCACCGGTCTAATACAACATCCCATACAACACCCTCGGCCCACCGGTCTAATACAACATCCCATACAACACCCTCGGCCCACCCATCTAATTTAATATGTGTCTGGGCCCACCCGTGAATGTGATAACAAGTACCTACCCATCTATCTCATACACATCTACCTTAATACACCCATCTGCATAATATCCAACTACCTCGGCCCACCCGTCTACCTAATATTCATGTACATCGGCCCACTCATCTACTCTATATATCCCCTGCATGGGCCCACCCGCCTCCATCGGGAATAATTTGCCTCCCGGCCCATCTGTCATAGTCGAGGATATTTTGATCATGGGCCCATGGTCCGCTGGCCCGTATCATACGGGATATTATGCACGTCCGTTCCCTCGTATTATACGGAAATAGGTCACTGTAATATGTGAAAAGGCATATATTTTTCTTTCTTTTGTTATCTTGTTAATATCAGTACTACTAGTTTTAGTTGACCCCAGTGCAATATCATCAACTTTACCCTCAACCAATATACCCCTGCATCCAGATCAAGATTCCAAGCCTGGAACCAGTCCTAAAAATTGTGTCCTTTTGCTCATTGATGATTCTCTTCCCCTCAAAAATACCTGCATCGTGCCAACCTACCCACATGATGCATCTGCCCCACCATTTGGAGTGCCTCAGCCCACTCCACAAGGTATGACCTCACCAACTTGTCACACATCAGGAGCATCTCACAACATACAAGGTGCCAACAAAGAGAATGAGATTATATTGCAAGATCCACTGTAAGTACCTCATACTGCATACTCGTCCTTGCTGACTCTGCTGCTATGAAGCGCTGATATTTTCAGACCTAATGGAATTGCCAAGACAGTCCCTGCTCCAGCACTTAGCCCAATCAAGCAGACAAATGACAGACCAAGTATATCCAACAACAAGTCAGCTGCAAAAATGGATGGAAAGAAGAAGATGCAACCAGGTGCTGCAAAGAACACTCAGTAAGTGTCAGTATACCTGTCTCTTAATGCTTCGCACTAACCTCTATCAATAATCACACAGAAACTTACGTGCATGGTGCTGGCTGAAGCAGGTGAATCAGATGAGCGGAACAACTGAAGAATTCCATGTGTATTGGGCAGCGCTCATGACTGCACAGCAAGATGAATACAAGGCTGACACAGAGCGGTTGCAGAGTGCAGGGACATGGACAAAGGGTTCTGATTGTGCCGTCTGCGATGGCACACTATACTAGTATATTTTCCCCTGCATTGTATGTCTTTTCCATTGCCTATTGCTTTTGTCCCCCCGCTTTCGAATGTTTTTCCCCCACCCTGTGTTTTGCTATTTACAGTACTAATTCCTGACTATGCTGCAATATCCCATGTCATCCGATCCTGTCCGCTGTTGTCACAATAAATTGCATTTGCTGGACTATCATAAATATGCTTGAATCGGGTGAAATATGTAAACTACAATGAAAATCTGATGTCATCACAGAAAACCCTGCCCCATCATGTAATATATGTGATGTGCTCAAGTGAATTCTGGAGCCCCTTCAGTGACAAATTCTGTATTATACGGGCCACCCGACCTACATAATATCTCATATGAGACAGGCCAGCGGATTATGGGCCCATGTTGTATATATTCTCGATGATGATGAATGGGCCGGGACACATATTATTTCTGATGGAGACGGGCCCATGTATGCCAATGATATATATATCCTTGATGTTGAGGGATGGGCCAGGGGAATGTGATCATTCATGGAGATGGGTGGGCCCATCTGAGTGATATGTAGAGTAAGATATTATAGACAGCTGGGCTGAAGAGAGATGTAAGGCAAATATTGTTATATAGATGGGCGGGCCAACAGGGGTGTACTACATATATGGGTGGGCCGAGGTAGGGGAATATTACATAGATGGGTGGGCTGACGTGGGGTGTATTACATATACAGGTGGGCCAACATGGAAAGTATTACATATACGAGTGGGCCGACAAAAGGGATATCAAATAGATGGGTGGGCCGAGGGTGCGATAAAATATTTATTACATAGACAGGTGGGCCACAGTGAGGTATAATTATATAGATGGGTGGGCCGATGTCGGATGTATTATATAGACGGGTGGGCCAACATAGGATGTATTACATAGACGAGTGGGCTGACATGGGGGAATTGTACATAGATGGGTACATATATGGGTGAGCCTAGATACATTTCATCAAGACAACAGATGATGTAGCCACCAGCAAATCAAAGATGTAGGATACATGTACACTATGAGTGCATATACCTACCATCGACCACCAAATATAAAGCCCTCCAGGTTTTGGGAGTGCCGAGTCCTGAAACCCGGAGTTCCAAAACCTGGAAATTGAAACTCAGGACTTGACATTTGATGAGACATCTTTCAAAAATGTTTAAATCAACCATTCATATATCCATACACATTTTACCAACCCCTGAACCCCAAAATTGTGGACTGCTGGGTTTCGGGGTTCAGGGGTCCTGGAACTCGGAACTTGGGAAATTTGGGGAGATCAATAAAATTTGATTTACAATCAAGTTGATTGACAAACACATTGACTGACCCATATTTGAAATATATTTTTGTTGTCTCACATACCGAGTTCCAAGTTCCAGGACCCCCGAAACCCGGCAGTCCACAATTTAGGGGTTCGGGGGTTGGTAAAATGTGTATGGATATATGAAAGGTTGATTTAAACATTTTTGAAAGATGTCTCATCAAATGTCAAGTCCTGAGTTTTGAATTCTGGGTTTTGGAACTCTGGGTTTTGGGACTCCAGGCTTCGGCACTCGGCACTCCCAAAACCCAGAAATTGAAACTTGGGACTTGACATTTGATATGCAACATCTTTCAAAAATGTTTAAATCAACCTTCCATATATCCATACACATTTTACCAACCCCTGAACTCCGAAATTGTGGACTGCTGGGTTTTGGGGTTCAGGGGTCCTGGAACTCAGGATGTGAGACAACAAAAATATATTTCGGGGCTTGGGGTTAGTAAAATGTTTATAGATATACGTAGGTTCATATAAACATGTCTGAAAAATGATGTTCATCTCAAATGTCAAATCCTGAGTTCTGGGTTTCAGGTTTCGGGACTCGGCACCTGGCACCCAGCACTCGGGGTTCAGCACTGAAAATTTGACAACTCTGGGTTTCGGGACTCTGGGCTTCGGCACTTGGCACTCCCGAAACCTGGAAATCGAAATTCAGGACTTGACATTTGATATGCAACATCTTTCAAAAATGTTTAAATCAACCTTCCATATATCCATACACATTTTACCAACCCCCGAATCCCAAAATTGTGGACTGCTGGGTTTCAGGGTTTGGGTTTCAGGGTTCAGGGGTCCCGGAACTTGGGACTCAATATGTGGGACTGGACAAAGATATCTGTCAGGGTTTGGGGGTTAGTAAAATGTTTATGGATATACGTAGGCTGATTCAAACATGTCTGAAAAATGTGTTTCATTTCAAATGTCAAGTCCTGAGTTCTGGTGTAGGACTGGAAGTCCTTGTAGCCTCATAGAGGCTATTTTGTAGTATCTCTTAGCATCCTATTACTTTACTACACCAAGCGCAGCTTTCCCGCGACCTGCGCACATCGGCTGCTACTTTCCTGTGTTTAACCTCTACTCCAGTGACCAAGTCCCAAAGTCTCCTTGTAGTGAGTACTTTCTTTGGTCGAAATTTTCAGTTCTGAAAATCTGAGCCATCATTCTCTAGTGATAGAATATCATAGAGTCTGTTTGAGGCCTGTATAACTTTCTTCAAGCTGGATGCTGATGAGGTAGAGGGATGGGAGTGTGAACCTTGGGCTTGTGAGATCAACAGATTGTTGGACATTGTGTAGGTGTAGATATGTTGTCACTTCTAGGCTATTATTGTGCTTGAATTTGAAGCAGGGCTTATAACCTTTTGTTTGAAGTTGCAACACATGGGAACAAACAGAAGGCTAAAATAAAAGGAGTGTATACTAGGAAAGTCAGTGAATGAATTGAGTATTATGACGAGTATCTCACCTCAGTCATACACTCATAGTGTAATGGACTGAGGTGTCAGTAAGTCCCTTCTCTGTATGTACTGAACTTATTATGTAATCTGTACTTGCCATATCAGGAAATTGGTATGCAAACAACATGAATAGCCCTACACTGCCAATTGCCACTTTGGGCGAAACTGAGCTAGCGCGAAAAGGATTTTAAACGCCTGGCAACCAAGTGGATATGAGTTCAAATACAGACTTGGGCCCATAAATAATAAATTGTTCCTGTAAAGCTTACAGATCTGGTCCTTTTGAGAGCTTTTGTCCCGATCCTGGGCAATACCTTGATTATTGCTATATTGCTGCCCAATTCTGGGCTTGTGCAGACCTCGAAGTCACACATGTCAGACACATTGGAATGAGTCATATGGTGTAGGTCGGGCGGCATACCTGTGGCAGACCTATGACAGAGCTCGTACTGATATTTAAGTGACCTCTGTACATGACACTCACCATTAATTCCTCTGCACACTTGAATATTGACGGATGGGTGGTTCTTTTAAATCCCTTTGAAGTGTCCTGGTGGTGCGATCGTGTCAATCAAAAGAGTACAACAAGGTATGCATTGCAGATAAGCACTGCACTGTAGTATATACACAAAATATGTATTGATAAGTATCTAACAGACTAAGACTGCAGGAGGAAAAGCATCTTGGAGTCAATCAGAAGTGACGAGAGGATGAGGAAAGAAGAGGGCAGCATGTTTACAAAACTCAGCCCAGATGTCGGGCAATACATTCATAGCACCTCAATCCTCCGCCATAGCAACATCACCCGACCGTTCTAACCACTGCTCGATGAACGTACCCTCCAAAGGAATTCGGGAATCCCACTTCGGCCACAAGCCCCCTGGGAATGATGGATATGCTGCAATGAAAGCAAGCCAAAACACATCATGTCCCCATGTCCACAGCTGCATTTGGCAATTCACCTGATCAACGAGCCATACTTCGATATCCTTCATCAGCGAGGCCCATTTAGCCTGGTCAGCATAGTCAAAGTGTTGAAGGGGCAGGAACAGAATAAGAGTGTCATCCGGGAGCACAGGAAAATCATCATGGCCGTGACTGCAGACTGACTGCACAATGTAAATTTTCAAAAGAAATTGCGAAGACTGTAGACTCACAGCATCGTCTGAGGGTGTCAAATCTCCAGCACTGGAGCAGAGATCCATTGATATGGCTTCCACAACTGGCGAGGCAAAGGTCCCATATTCATCTGCAATAGAGACTGTGATCTGGACAGGCTGTTGCACACCGGTAATCAGAAAACAGTCCTGATGGTATATAGAGAGAGCTCACGATATTCCTTTCGATAACCTACCTTGGCAGTCTATCCAAAAAACATATAGTAAGGAGCACAGATCGCAGTGGGCCTGTGCCGACATCCTGGTATTGAATATCTGGATAAACGGTCACAGTATTTGTGAGTAATCCGGACTCCATTGGCTGGAAGTTTGTTGAATGAAGATGACAATGAGCAAGGACAGTGTTGGACTTGTTGATTTCAACAGTCAAGAGTCACGTGACCAGAGCTTCGCCATGGAAATGATCAAACAAGTGCAGCTTATTGACTCAACATGAATTCAGCTGATCTTGTTGATGGCACTGGTATGCTTTCCCTCTTCATCTCATATATATATATATATACATGCTTATTTGGTGGCACAGTTCTGCAGTTCTGTGATACTACTCAAAGGTGCATCCTCTGCACAGTGTGCCCTCAGAAAAATGGTATTTATCATACAATGGAACTGCGACATGTCAAGAAGCACACTCTACAAGGAATCCATACTTGTCACATTAGATACTTTATGGAGCGACATATGAGGATGAGACTTTCGCATTTGGTCCAGGGCAAGAAGGGTGCCAATGTCATTCGCATGGAGTCTGAATCGCCACTAGCTGCTGTTGACACCGACATCTCTTTCAATGCTGACGACTCTTTCATGGATATAGATGACACTTCTGATGTGCCACTTGCTGTCACACAGTCTGGTATACCACCACCTGCAGCACCTGTTATGGTGTCAGATGACATGGACTCTGATAAATTGTCAGAGCTCATGAAAAAGATAATCGGCCATCGCACTTTTGAATTCAAAGGAGGATGTCCAGACTTATTCGCCAAACTTCAAGCAACCCTTGCATCGGGTGAATTACCATTCTCGACTCCACTTTCCTGGTCCTCTGACAAGGAGCATGAGCTCTTCGATGACAATGCTCTCAATTTTGGGGTTGAGCTCCCTGGTGAGTGACATCACTGTTCGTTCTGCAGGGCCATGTGTTCAGTGACATTACCAGATGATATCCACAATAAGGCGAGTGCGAACTTCGATACGGTCTCAATGAATAACCTAACATATCCATGGCCATCAAAAGCGGTGTAAAGATACAACAATGCTTGATACTATACAAAGTAAGTGTCAGCAATATAAAAATGTTGTAGTGGTCTTGCACAGCCTAGTCTGCTATACTTGCTAGACAAGTGTGTTCGACCTGAGGGGTTAGCTATTGGAATAAGTCTGTATTTAGTTAATTGATAAACTGTCAAAAGTCCGAGTGCAAGAAATGGAATCCGAAGGTATAATTATGAATCTGATGCCAAAGCATCGGCCGATGTTTTCGGGTTTTGCAGGTTTGCGGGTTTCGGGTGTGGGTTTGCATCAGGTTTGAAAGGGAATGTCATGTATAGCAAGCAATATGCGGAATATTGATAAGGACAGGTGTTTCGGGTAGAAAGTGTGGTAATATTCGCAATGTCAACTAAGAACTACGAAATATTGGGTTTGACCACAAAGGGTCGGGAAACGGCTCCCTCCTACTTGGATGAGGAATATGCTATGTGGAAACCAATATATATATAAGTACATAGAAATCCGGAGCCCTATAGGCAAAAGTAGTGGCCGAAGAATTTCGGGTCCGATGTACATGTAAATAAACATGAGGCGCTGCAGACTATGGGAAAACATGTAATAGCGCTGGCTACGACGTGAGTAATGTGTGAAATAATCAGCTACGCACCTAGTGGGGCTAGCTGACAAGACAAGACACGGATAGGACAAGTGTGCAGCAAAAATGTCGGGTCCAATGCAGCCAATGTGTCGGGTCCACTGGTCAAAGTGTCGGGTTCGGCGGATATGCATCGGGTTGCATCGGGAAGTGAATATTGTGTGATGGACATTTGATGTGATGCGTGAAATGGCTGAATACGAGCCTAGCACAAGCTCGAGTGCTACAGTGGTATTTTTCTCATTGTATCTGTGTCACAACCTAATACTTACATCCCTGTCAAGCACTTCTTCACATCCCTTCTTTTCAGCTCTCCACGACTCCCATTCTCCGAGACCCAGAAGAAAGCCATACTCAATTGGGCCAGAAGTCTTGGCGCTCAAAATGTCCCCTCACTGGGTTCAATGAAGAAGTGCCACACATACCTGGATAATCTTATTGGCAATCTGACTCAGCAAGTCACATCTTGTGCTGGTGATGTATTTTACATCAACAACATCACAGAAGCAATCGCAAAGGTGCATCTAACACGTCTCTCACACGAGCGCGGTAGTGACATTAAATTTAGGACTACGCGAATCCACTTACTCAGTTTGCAATGAAGGATTACCCCAAGGATGGTGGTGAGGGGATGTCGCAAGTATTCAATGGGAAGAAGATGTTGCTCGATCTTCTGTCACCACCGGCGGTTCAAGTAGATGGAACAATTTACTTCACAGATGAACTACTACAGGATAACTCTGGAGACTACTTTATTCCAGAGCACTTTTTTTATGCCTTGCCTCCTGCAGACTCAGATGGTGATGACACTGAACTCCATGAGCATGCAGATGCGAAGCCCTTATATGCACTTGGTCGGGCAGTCGAACGAATGGAGGTACGTGGTCGTCATGCATCTATTATGACATATAATATTCTAACTACTCGAATAACAGGCTGGATTCATTGTTCATGATGAGCAAGAGATCATTCCTATGTCCACATTTGTGCAGTCATTTGAAGACATAGCTGCGACACAGGGTGAACTTGATTGTGGGCTTACAGGTGTGTTATGTGCCCATCTGTATCAGCAATTGTGGGACTCACATGATAACAGCCTCGTCCACCAAATATGTGTCACTTTTGCCAAGTCCAATGCATAAAAAGGCAAACAGTTGCATGGTATATACAGTCCCTCTCATCATATTCATGGACAATGTTTCTGGTAACATATCCAAACAATGGAATAAACATCACGCAATCTATATGTTGAACACAAATTTACCCCGTGAGATGCTGGAGAAAGAATTCTTTGTATGCTTTGTTACATCTTTGCCTCATGTTGCTCCCATGGAACTCATGCGGGCAATGAAACAATCAATTTCATTTGTTGGTTTATTGACTCGCTCAAATTGAAGTTCTAACATGACCTATAGTGATGCAGCTACATCTGGTGTTGTTGCATGGGATTGCAAAGATAACGAAGAAGTCTTGCTGATTCCATGCGGGCTTTTCCTTGCTGGGGACAATCCCATGCAGGCAGAGGAGTGCAGCCACGCAGGGCTAAACTGTAATTATTTCTGTCAGACGTGCAACATTGGTGGAACAAAAGAATTCAAGGCATCTGAGGGTGGTTATAGTAGCCTGTTTATGGTAAGCATGTATTTGAATCGAACTTTAACACCTGATGATGCGCTGTAGGGATTCATTTCTGGCTGGGCTGGTAGAGACTGTTTTTACCTTACCATATGTTGGCACTTTTGTAGCTTACATAAGCAAGTTACCCTCTCACCAGTTTTACTATGAGTCTGAGAGATCAGCAAGCTTTTATGATATTTCCTCTCCTCTGAGCCTTGAGCCTGGTCCAGAAACCCTTTAGGGTCGAATAGCAGCTAGGTTCTGCAAGACCCAACATTATTCAGACTCACCATCTGAATTGTTGTACCTTCAGCGCTTGTAGTCCGGAAATCTGTGAACACCAGAAAGCACTGCAACAAACATCTGACAGCAGTTTGAGACAGCATTGAAGTCTGGTGCAACAGAGAAAATCAAGAATTTGGTGTCGACAACAGGTATTTGTGATACAGCCTCCATCTCTATCATCAACACCCTTGTGGAACTTGGAAAGAAGCTCCAAAAACACGTGGCTGGTACTCAAGCAATGTCTGAAGCGGATGTCACAGCTGCACTGGAGAAGGAATTTGAGGAACTTCTGCAAGGCAACACACTTGACAACACCATCAACCCGTTGTTGGGGATGGATGGTTAGTCTCTTTTCACGATGTTGACCCTCTCATTAACACTACTAGCAGGTCTCAATATGCACATGGACACACCAACGGAAATCCTGCATACAGTGCTACTTGGTGTTGTCAAGTACTTCTGGGGGCAAACTGTATTTTTACTCGAAAAAGCAATGGACATTTTTCAGACTCATCTCCATTCTGTCAATACTGATGGACTGAATGCTCCATGCCTGGGTGCAGATTACATTTGCCATTATAAAGGTAGCCTGATTGGAAAGCATTTCAAGAGCTTGGCACAAGTGATGCCATTCTTAATTTATTCGTGCCTTCAACTATTCTCGATGCATGGACCATCATCGGAGAATTTGTTGTGCTTGTATGGCACACTAACATATTGAATACAGAAGCTTATCTTGTAAGTTTATATGCAAATATAGATTCTAGGTCTCATGCTGAGTCTTTCAGGCAAAGTTATCTCGAACGATTGAGGATTTCCTTAATGTCATGGCACAATGCTCCCCCAGTATCATTATCAGCAAGCCGAAATTTCACTTTTTGATTCACCTCCCAGCTTACATTCGTCGGTTTGGGCCTGCAATTGTATTTTCAACAGAAAGATACGAGTCATTTAATCATGTTTTCTGTGTGTCATGTATATATAGCAATTGTCAAGCACTGAGCCATGACAGCTGCAGAACCTTCACTCACCAAGACATTGTCAAGCATGTGGCCACTGGCGGATATTGGTACAACCCCGAGGCAGCAAAATGGGTTCAGGCAGGTCCAGTGGTCATTGGGTACCTGCACAATCACCCAAAGCAAGCCCGACTTCTCAGGTTGTCCTATTTTGTTCAAATCCCCCTGGTACCTGGTATTTAAGCGCATTTTACCTTGCTTTATCTTCACTCATATTCCATGTAGGTTCTGGAAAGGCTCTATCGACTGCTGGCGCAAATGGAAAAACAACAAGGACCGATGTCGTGGCCTGGAAGAACACTCTTTGTGCGAAGACCTTGAAGACTGCACGGCCTGGCATCGTTTGCCATTTTGGAAAATCAGTTGTGCTTAGTAAGGGCGATGTTGCTCATTTAGATAGTAATGTTATCTTTTGTCAAGGGGTGAATGGACCGGTGAAAGTGAGGAATCTTGACTATAGGTGAAAGCTCTAAAAACTAATGGGTGCTCTACAGCAAGACCAGGATATGAGACAAAGACTCAACCCAAAGGACAACTACTGAGAGAAGTTCCTCAGTGATAAAATGGAGGGAAACTCTACAAGCTAGGCGGGCACTTGCAGGCGTGAGAAGGTAACGCGCGCGAAGGCGCGCGTGAGTGGGAGGTTTGAGTATGCACGCACGCAAAGTGAAGGTGCATTCAGAGTGTTAAAGGAAAAGATCCTTAATGAAGAGTGGATGCACAGATGATAGTTGATAGGAGAATATGATCTGATTTCTAGTGAGGAGGTGAACTATACACTTTGCAGTATACTGAGATAAGGGAAAAGTAAGTACCAGAACTGAAAGAGCTCCCCCTCTATTTAAGAAGAGAGATTACGCTATGCAGCGCGCTGTAGAGACTCATGCCTCTCATGGCGTGATATGGCAGTTTCCACTAAGGGAGTATACAGCACCAACTCGCAGCACCACTCTGTGTACTGTCCACAGCAATTCCTATATGAGGTGCAGCTTTCCCGCGCAACACGCACCATGCGCGCACCATTCCCACGCTTCGCGATGTATACGCGTGCGCGCGTTCCCGCGCTTGTGCGCCCTATAGCGCCAGCCATCCAGATGCATCCATCCACTGTCCACCAAGCTCCCTAGCGCGTATATTTCCATTTCCTTTATTAGCATAGTGTTCCACCTTTATTTTTATCATGGACTCTCACCCATATATATCCTTACATACCTACTTGGTAGCGCTTCGGCTCTGCATGACCGCGCTTAGGTGCACTATATAAGCGCCAGCAGTACATACTATTACTGACTTACTTTTTCACCCATCTTTACTTACCTACTTAATACCTAGAAAGTCGCAGTAGAAACCTATTCATTAGCACATCACATCTCACATCTCTTATCTTGTTTTATATCATCACTTAAGCATAGTCTCTCATTTCTGCATACGCGCACGCACTTTCACGCACTTCGCGCTAATATGCGCGCATGTTCCCGCGCCTTGCGCGCACTTGCGCTTTCTTGCGCTTCACTTCTGCGCATACCTCTAGATCTTCGCTGCACCTGCTTCCCCTTTAGGGTCGAACGCACTTGTCCTTTCAAGTATAGCACACTAGGCAACGCGCAACCTTACAACTTTTACAGATACAATCAGGAGCCTCGTTTGTTCCTCACAGCATTGTTGTTTCTACAGCGCTTCCGAGCGCGGACCCGAACCAAGTAACCATATCAACTCTAAATATATCCTAAGTTTAAATAACTCTATATATGTAAGCGTGGACATCGGACCAAAGGTTCATTAATTAAGTGGAGGAGATAAGAATAATGCACCAGTAAATCAGTCAGGACATGGAATGGATGGACAGACGATAGGAGCACGGAGGCCTAAAGGGACGCACGCGGAAGGCACAAGTGAGGCGCATACGTGGGGCGCGCGAGAGAGAGCGCGAATGACTGGTCCTTTGGACAAGAGCTGGTATATGTAGGAATTTTAGTGGATAATAAGGCCATATATCTGGCATTGAGAGGTGTGAGTCTCTACACCGGTAAGCAATTTTGTGACTTTTCATGACTGTTGATTCATGCTACTAGATGGGCATTGGACAAATTTGCGAGATCCTCATATCACTGGAGGACCACAAAACAGTGATTCATGTCGCACTACAGCTCTTTACGTTTCTGGATACATTACATGCCTCTGTCCATCTCCCACGTCTGAATCTTATGGATGATGAAGTAGTTGTAATGGCATTGGTGAGTCTTTTTTACAAATGCACGAACCATTCAGACCATTGTCCAACAGGATATCATGTGCATCATCAATCTCCAGCACAACTGTATCGACTCACAATGTATGGACACCCTTGAACAAAATGTCCATCAAGAATGGATCAAAACATCTCGGACAAAACCTACCATTTGCCATAAGTCCACACCGCACTTTCTTGTCAATGCCTACTCTCTTCATAACTATGCACATATCCACCTTGTTATCCCCGAAAAGCTTCGTGAAACGCCACTGAGAGTTACAAATGTGGCGGAAGTTCAGGCCATGGCTGTACAACATATGAAGGAGAAGAAAGCCTCAAAGAGAGCTGGTGACGCACCTCAAGAAGCCGAAAGCACCAAGAATGATGTTCAGGGTTTGTTGGTACCAGTTCCAGCCTTTGATAAACCTTCTGTCAAACCGAGGACCACCACAAAATCAAAAGCAAGAGCAAGCAACTCCAGCACATGGGGCAAGAAGGCTGCGCCATCTTGTCCCCATCAGCTTGAAGTTGTTCACAGGTCATCACCATCCGCTCAGCAAAATTCTGTGGTTCAATCTAATACTGCTGCTTTTGATCAGCATGGCCAGGGCCACTTCACGCCATCATACCCTCATCTGCCCCAATACTTCCACTCCTCTTTACCTCATGCACACTATCCGCCACCGCTTTTGTCACCAGCAGCAGTCATGTAAGCAAGCCTGCCTCGATTACTACACACTAACACTCACAGGTTCAAGCAGGATAGCTTTCAGACCACCGCTCTTGCTGTTCTAAAGCAGAGGTGAACCACGCATCCCAAAGCCCTACTGTTTCCTCCACAGTGCTTTTGTCACCAACAGTGGTCATGTAAGCAAGCCTGCCTCGATTCTACACACTAACACTCACAGGTTCAAGCAGGATAGCTTTCAGACCACCGCTCTTGCTGTTCTCAAGCAGAGGTGAACCACGCATCCCAAACCCCTTCTGTTTCATCGACAGTGCTTTGATTACCAACAGCAGTCATGTAAGCAAGCCTACCTCGATTACTACATGCTGACACTCACAGGTTCAAGCAGGGTAGCTTTCAGACCACCGCTCTTGCTGTTCTAAAGTAGAATGATTCTGTGTGCTGGACCTCCACACAGATTCCCTGCAGTTCTGCTAATTGAAAAGTTCTTTCAAGAGCATTTCTGTCATGCTGGTCCACTAGCTGGGCCTTAAGAAGATGCAAGGCTTGGTTACCAATGCTGGTAACTATTAGTTCGAGAACACCATGGTCAAGGTAAGGATGTAGACATGGATGACAATCACATTTGCATGTTTTTCTGCCTTCACACCTTTGATACTAATTGTATACTCAATGCTATTCGATTTGCCTTCTCTGCTGCACTTTGTTTTATCAAGCTTGGTTTGTAAAAGTTTCAATGTGTGCCCCGAATTTACCGAATTTATGTTAAGCGAGTTTAGCGTGATTTGACTTGATTCCGACTTTCCACTTGTTCATTTGTCATCGGCAACCCCAGGTCTTGTGCATTTTCTTAACCTCTAACATTATGATTTCGTGTTTTCCTGTGTGTCCTTGAAGTTCAAAGACTTCAGGTAATTCACAGGCTCAGAGTTCCAGAAACGATGGTCTGTTGGCCCCAGACATCAACTTACTGCGGCCTCAAGGAAGAAGTGTTTCAACTTCCAGCAGAAGTCAACTTGGCAGAACATGAGCCCCTTCTGCATGTGGTTCTCAGGCAATGGGAAACATTGCTCGTGCACGCTCACCACTTGGCATATTTCCAGTTGACAGCACGTCGTTGTCTCACAGCTTGACTGCTGTTGGCAGTAGTATAACACATTCTGCTGTTCCACGTTCTCCCTCATCTAGTGATTCAATTAATGAGCCAATTACTGCTGGTATACATCGCCAAAGGACAGATTCTGCTGCTGACCAGGATGACCCAACAATCCTTATGCCCTCACACACGAAACAGCTCAAAGTGTATGCTAAGAAGGTGGCTGAGGAGAATGACATCTCAGAGAAGGATCTGTATGACTATCAATGTGAGTTGCTGTATCGCTTGACAGATCCTCACTTTTTGGAAACACCTCTAGACCAGAGGAATTTATTACATGCTCATCGATCTCAAAGTGTGTATGATGAAGAGTGATACAGGCCAAAAGGCTGCTCTTCTCCATGATTTGAAAGAGTTGCTAAACTCCAAGGATTTCAAAGTATTTTTTTTGCCATCTCCACCCACAAATCACCAGGTTAATTGTGCTACACAGTCCGCACTCCAAAATCGCTTGATAGCATGTCTACTGTCACCAAACATTACTGCATATGTGATGGACACACATCCCCACATCATGGTGACCCCCTTCGAGTTATGGCGGCGACTCATTCACAAGAACTGACACTGCAACAGAATTTCATAAAAGACAACAGTGGTGTATTCAAAGTTCCACCATCACTGTTTGAGGACATGGAGCTGACTGTGGTATTGGCAAAAATTGTCAGTGAGCTGCTTTCATTGATTTGTGGTAACATGAAGAACAAGGTACACAACATGATAGTCAATTTGTCTCAAGAATCGCTAAAATTGTTACAAGTAACATCGGCTACATGGCCCCCCTATCATTTTTCCCCCTTCATCCTCGCCCTCGTATGCCTCTGGCTCGTACTTCTCTACCGACTATCTGTTGACCGGATCCTCAGGACCGCTCCCATCCCTCGTCCCCCTCCTGTTGCACCAACGTGCGCACGTGCCCTCGGGCTTTGACTCGTTCTGACTCATGCCACCAATGTGGCTTTCCTTATCTTGTCTTATCTTTCCTCTGACTCATGTGTGCTGCGCATTGTATCACTTACCGTTGGCTTGTTCCAACGTTTCTCGGTCTCATTCCACATTCAACCTCACATCACTAATCAGGCTCTGCTACCAGCGTACCTATACCCTTTCCGTTTCCCCTTTGCCCTTACCTACAGTACGGTAGCCTTGCCCTTAACCCTTTCCACTTAGTATAAGTAGTCGGTCACCCTGTACTAGATTCCCTAACTTGAATCTACTCAATCTTCCCTGGAACATACTTCCCTCTGAAGCCCCCTCAGCTTCAGTCTCTAGTATCTTTTCTTAGGTGCTCTTCGCGCCTAAGTCTACCTCGATTGACTACTCATCATTTGGACAAAACTGTCCTTACCTTGAGAACGTCAGTAACTTCAAAGACATCCGTCTTAGAAGTCACATGACACGCGCGTCTCTGATATCTGCCGACTCATCGTCACCAGTCTCAGTCACTATACCGGACCCTTCCGGTTACATCACGAACATTAGTGGACGACGCCCCTCTTAGGGCTCCGCATAACAGATCTATTTGAGTGTGTAACAAAAATGATAGCTCAGCTGCTCACGTCTATCCGCAGATGCATGAGCATTATGGACACGGCAAAATCACTTGCGCATGGTTCCATTGAGGTTGACTCGGCTCATTGGAACAGGCTTGCATTTTTGGTGCATTTTCATCCTACGATCAGACATTGTGGTTATTATAACCTGCGATAATTAGCGGCGCTGCTTGCGCATCTTTATGATTGGTATTAGTGACTACAGGACCATTCCACTCAAGGACCTTTATTCGCCTTTTCTTATTCCATCTCTCCACACTGCTGTCCATGCTAGAATTGGACCGAAACTCGGCATTGACATCGACAGCATTGATCATGAGATGCTAGGCGAAGAAGAAATTCCAGATGGCCAGGATGAAGGCCAGGAAATGCACAGCACAGGAACTGCTGGCAGTGGAGTCATTGACAATGGTGAACTAGCTGATGGGATGAGAGAGTTGGAGGAAGATTCGGGTGACAATGGCGATGCAGACCAGGATTATGAGCCCGAGGATAATGAGGGGCCTGATAGCACCCCATATAGCAGAGCTCTTGCTGAGGACGACTCTGGCTTTGGGGACAATGGCAAGCCCACTGTTTTCACTTTGGGAAAATTTTGGAATTTTGTTGATACCTTGCTCGAGAACATTTGCAAAGTTGTCAAGCAGGAGGCAGTGAACAATCATCAAGGTACTGTTTTCCAATATACATTAATTAAAACCGCATTTTGGCAGTAAGTGTTTCATGATTGAAACTTATATATCATTGCTCATTATCGCCAAGAATACTCATAGAATATTTCCAGGAGGACCTCACTGATTTCCCTGGTAACATGGCCATTCCTAAGCTCCTCACAAACAACAGTCCCCAGTGGCAGACCACAATTCAGAACAACCTCCTGTGGAATGAGAATCTGTGATGTTCATTCCGATGCTGCTTCTTTTCCATCACTCCATATATCACACTCGTTTTCTAATTTTTTTGTCTATATCTAAACCGTCTTAATGCAATGTTTCAATTTGTGACCTGTTTCAGTGTTTGCTCAGATGCTCAACTCTTGTAATGGCATGAATATACCTGCGGCTTCGCTGCAACAGTCCATGCTGGTGAGATCAGAATGGTGCACATAATGTCAATTAGATATGGTTCACATCTGAAACTCTATGTACATCAAACATTGGGGAGATATGTACATGACCTATGGAGACTGACCTGTGTGACAGGTATGCATGAGATGCTTCTGCCAGGTGCTGTACAAGACCTACCCAGAATCTCTGATGCTTATATTAACTATAGCTCTGGTCGCCAGGGTATCGACGGTGCCTCTAATAGCTCTTTTGGTGGTCGTAAGCATGTCTCACAACCCCTTCACCTCCTCACTTCCTTATAGATATATTATATTGCTCAGTGTAGAGACTTGTGCCTCTCATTGCTTGATATGGCAGTTTTCACTGAGGAGTATACAGCATGAACTTGTAGCATTACTCTGTGTGCTACCCGCAGCTATCTCTATATGAGGTGCAGTTTTCCTGCACACACTTCCTGTGCTTCGTGATGTATATGCGCACGCACTTTCCCGCTGTAGGGATTCATTTCTGGCTGGGCTGGTAGAGACTGTTTTTACCTTACCTTATGTTGGCACTTTGTAGCTTACATAATCAAATTATCTTTTCACCAGTTACCAGTATGAGTCTGAGAGATCAGCAAGTTTTCATGATATTTCCTCTCCTCTGAGCCTTGAGCCTGGTCCAGAAACCCTTTAGGGTCGAATAGCAGCTAGGTTCTGCAAGACCCAACATTGTTCAGACTCACCATCTGAATTGTTGTACCTTCACCGCACTGGAGCGCCCTATAGCGCCAGCCATCCAGAAGCATCCATCCACTGTCCACCAAGCTCCCTAGTGCGTATATTTCTGTTTCCCTTATTTGCACATCATTCCACCTTATTTTTATCATGGACCCTTACTTATAGATATCTTTACATACCTTACTTGGAAACGCTTCAGCTCCGCATGACAGCGCTTAGGCACCATACTTAAGCACCAGCAGTACATACCATTAGAGACCTTCCACCTTACTTGACTTCACTTTTGAACTGGGGAACTACCCACTATTTACCTAGCAGAACATAGTAGAAATCTATTTGTTTACATCTCGCATCTCTCATCTCTTATCTTGCATCTAATCATCACTTAAGCAAACTCACTCTTACACTCTCTCATTTCCGCATACACGTGCACACTTTCCCACACGCTGTAGAAACAACAACACAGCAAAGCGCGAATGAGGCTCCTGGCTGTATCTGTAAATGTTGAAAGGTCACGCATTGCCTAGTCTGCTATACTTGAGAAGACAAGTGCATTTGACCCTAAAGGGGGAAGCGAGTGCAGCAAAGATCTAGAGATATGTGCTAAAGGTGCTACTGATCGGCCAATGCGAAGCATGAGAAAGCGCAGGTGTGCGCAAGCTACGAAGGCGTGGGAATGTGCGCGCATGCTGCGCGAAGCGCGGGAAAATGCGCGCAGGTATGCAGAAATGAGAGAGACTAAGCTTAAGTGATGATATGATGCAAGATAAGAGATGTGAGAGTGTGAGATGTAAACAAATAGATTTCTACTATGTTCTGCTAGGTAGATAGTGGGTGGTAACCAGTAAGTGAAAGGTGAAGTAAGGTGGTATGTACTGCTGGCGCTTATATACGGTACCTAAGCGCTGTCATGCGGAGCCGAGGCACTACCGAAGTGCTACCGAGTAAGGTCTAGTATGTAAAGATATATATAAGTAAGGGTCCATGATAAAAATAAAGGTGGAATGATATGCAAATAAGGGAAATGGGAATACATGCACTAGAGAGCTTGGTGGACAGTGGATGGATGCTTCTGGATGGCTGGCGCTATAGGGCGATTAAGTGCGGGAAAGCGTGCGCGTATATACATCGTGAAGCGTGGGAAGTGTGCACGCATGGCGCGCGTTGTGCGGGAAAGCTGCGCCTCATATAGGGATAGCTGCAGATAGCACACAGAATGATGCTGCAAGTTTGTGCAATGTACTCCCTAGTGAAAACTGCCATATCAAGCAATGAGAGGCATGAGTCTCTACAGCGCGTTCACACGCCTTTGTGCCTTGCACGCACCTGCGCGCTTTCTCGTGCTTCGCATTGGCCAACCAGTAGCGCCTTCAGTGCATACCTTTAGATCTTCGCTGCACTCGCTTCCCCTTTAGGGTCAAATGCACTTGTCTTCTCAAGTATAGCAGACTAGGCAATGCATGACCTTACAACATTTACAGATACAGTCAGGAGCCTCGTTCACGCTTCACTGTATTGTTGTTTCTACATCGGCAAGAGGTACCGAGAAAGACATTGGACCGAGGCAGTGGTGAGGTCAGCCACAGGGTGCTACTTTTAGACCTGTGTGATAGCCTTTCGGCACTCAGCGGTGTAGTTACAGTGTTTGGCCTGCTTAGTAAGCATCTGTTTGAGCTTGTTGTTCACAGGCTCATGTGTAGGATAGTGAGTGACTAAGCTGTATGCCAAATCATGTCAATAATACCAAACAATGTAGTCAATATATAGCAGTGACCCAACTTAGGATGATGATGAATCATCTTCTTGTGGTATAATACCTGCTCTTAGCCTGACACCATACAGCAAGTAATCACACTCCCTTGGTGCATTCTAATCTCTCATCTAATCTCTCATGGACTTACACTTCTCAAAGTAGCTCAAGGCCTTACTTAGCTTTCTGTTGCTTTCTATACTATCATGAAACAGTGGGCAAGAATGTATGACACACCACTTATGACCCACCAATTTGTAACTGCACATGCAGGACCACATGTTAGTAGTATTGCACATGTTTGCATCAGGTTCTAGTACTACCATTGCTGATCAAATGATTCTTCAACTTGCAGGGACAGGCTTTCACTGGGGGTATCAATTTCGCATTGGCAGATAGTTTCCCCAAAGACTCGGGTTCCGAGTCCAAACATGACAAGTAAGTATTATCAGCCATTGCCTCACCACTAACTGTCTTCGAGTTCAATGTCCAAAAGTACTTACATTACAAACCCACTACTAGGATGGTGCCCTCATCAGTCTCACCCCCTCCAAGTCCAAATGAAGCAGTTCCTCGACTATCCCGAGGTGCAATACTAGCGGACAGAGGCGCTGTTCAGCTAGAACAGCGTGATCTTCCTTCATGGACACCAATGGTTGTTTCGGATAGCGAAGGCGGTATGGATGAGCTCCCTTTAGGTGTGGAGCAATCAAAAGCCTCGCCTTCGAATGCGAGAGAAACGCTGTCACAGAAATGCAAGAAAAATCCAAACCATGGTCCTCCGATTGCAATGCCTCGACAAGAAGCCCAGCAGGCACCTTCAGGCGTCTACTCTGGGTTGGGGGATTCCCGCGGTTTCCAAAGTTTGCAGGAGATGCTGCAAGCAACATTCAGCGTCAATGGTTCATACAATATCTCGCCGCCAGCCGCACCTATTGAAAGCGAGGGGAGCAGCACCGACGTGCAAGCTGTGATTTATAACAAACAGCGCCGCCAAATTCATAATACTCGCAGAAGCACAAGTCAGGAGGGTTCAGAGCCTATCGCAGTAGTCGATGCTCCAATACCTAATGCCACCACAGCGGTTCCGACCATAACTCGGCGCAAAGCCGCGCCCGCCATTCCTTACGAGTCTATGCAAAAAGTTATTGATGCTGCATTGGACACTCGGGTAGCCAAAATTACTTGGCGTCGTTGGCGCAATGCCACAGAGTGCGACACCAACGAAGAGTCACAGAATGAGACTTCGAGGACGAACTGCTTTGCCTTCGAAGACGCCATTTTTGACTTCGATGTTTCAACCTCCGCACGTCAGGGAGATCACCACAGTAAAATCAAGTCGGAGCTAGCTCCAGTCAAGGATGAACATTTTGCCTTGCCGCGCAAATTTATGCGAATTCTTGATGGCGTTCAAGCTACCTCTCTTCCACAGCAATCTAGAGGGGATAGATTCAACGAACGACTGTATTTAATGTTTGGGGGCGCAGACGCACCTCACTCACCTGACGGATTAATTGCTCACGTGAGTACCATGCATCGCAGATAGAAATGAACACAAACTGATCTATTGTAACCACAGGCAACTGCAGGTTCGGCGTCTATCTTCGCGCCAGTGCGCAAGGCTGCGGCAAGCAAAGAAAACAGCCCTGTCTCATTCAGCGATTCAGGAGTATCCATTGACACGTCGCTCTCGCAAAGCACCAAAGCCACAAGTATTTCTGGGCGCAACGATGTATCTCGAAAGAGAGCTTATACGGAGAGTCACCTCGGTGATGAACCTGTTCGAAAGAAGCATAAAATTGAGGTTGCAGAAGACCTGATATCCAAATGGATTGCGGCGTTGCAGCGACTTGTCAAGGGAAAAACGAAGATTGGCCATAAGGTACGGAATGAGTCTCCGACATCTGCATTCTGTTGTTCACATACATCAGGACATGGAGGATTTGAGCATAGTGTTGGCTGAGATAGAGTCTGTATACCCGCACCTAGATTCAGAACTTGCACAGGTTGGTCAGCTCTAATAATTCATCGGCAATATTCTCAACCAGTCTACTCGTGTTTAGGTCACTTGTCTTCGAGACGTCTTACAGCAGATATCGCAGTTGGAAGAAATTCCATTCAAGGACGAGCATGACCTTCGCCGTCGCACGGATGACATTATCGCAGAATGGCCCAGTGTTAAAGCCTAACTGATAGATTGATGGGGAGATTCCGAATGTTTTTGGTGCATTGCGTACATTACTTGGGGGTAAACTTTTATACCCAAGTATGGAACACATACAACCTTTTGGCAGCGTCATTGGTAGTTACCAATTAGGTCTTGCAGTTTATTGGGATCCGAGCTCGCGCTCTTTCATACATACGATATTGGCAATAATACAAAAATCCATCATGAACGAAAACATTTCAATAACTAGCTTCTTCAGTCTGCCGTCTCCAGCGCCTCTGGTTATCAATCATCTCTAGGAATATACTGTATTTAGCATCTAGTAATTTTTTCACTGTCGACGACGCCCCAGGGGCCACAAGGGTACCAGTAGGTGTCATTTCGACCTGAATGGTAAAAATCAGCATCTACACACAGCAGAGTACACAGGATATCTTACCATGATCTTCCACATGTCTTCTCCGTCTTTAGCACCCTCCGCTGCAATCCTTCCCAGCATCGCCGCACCAAGAACCACCGCCTCAGAATATGACCTGGGCAAGATGACGGGGATGCCACATGTGTCCGCAAAGAGCTGCATTATTACCACATTCTTCACCTGCCCACCAGAAAGATACAGAGAGGTAATGTCATGCCCTGCCGCGTTGAGAACGTCGATGATGTGGCGAGTTTGAAGGGCGATAGCTTCCAGAGTAAGGTAGTACTTGCGAGCGAGGTCGGCTATAGATGCGTCCTGAAGTAATCAAGATAACTTGGTTGAAGTTCTCAATTGGAGGAGGAGTGACTCACCAGCTCAAGACCGATAATGGACCCTCTCATTCGAGAGTCGGCGATTGGAGATCTGTTTCCTGCGATAGTTGTGAACAAAGATACGAATATCGAACCATAGCTTATCTCACCATGGAAATCAGGATAGAAATGTACATTCTTCGTAAGCTCCGTGTAAGTATGAACATTATTCTCGTTCCGCAACTTTTCGAGGACGTCCAGTAAGACTATAGACGCATATCAAGGCACTGCTTGCGTTGCTCCAGCATGAAAAGTTGTACAGACCATCATGTGTGCACTTTCCCTCTTGCTTTGCACGTTCTTTGAGTTCAGGATACGCAGTGTGAGTGGTGATGATAAAGTCAATAAGTTGTCCTGTAGACGACTGGCCCCCTTCATTCATCCACCAACCAGGGAAAACTGTGTCCTATTGAAAATATACCATTAAGATATGGCATGTTATGCAGAATAGCAATAGTATACCCTATATGGACCCCATACGCCCTTTACGAAGACACCATCCCGACTCTGCCACACTGTTGACGTCTTGATGAAGATGGATTGAGCAAGATAACTTACCTGAACAATATGGCAAGTACTCGTTCCGGCAACAATGGCCAAACGGTGCCGAGACTCGTCGAGAGAAGGAAGCACGTTTGAAAGTTGACCATTCTCTATGTATCGAGCTGCAACTGTGCCCATCCAACCAGCATACCTAGCACGACGCCAACAGCATTCGCATTCAGTAGACATATGGATGTAATATGACATACCCGTCAATCAGACCACTTCCAACAGCAGTACCTTCCACAAGTCCAAGTTCTTCAGCTGCCTTTTGAGATAACCCTCGACCAACTGGGCTTCCGGCAGCATGCACTTGCCCCCTGGCGGCGCCCATATGCTTCCAGTTATCACCATCGACGAGTTCGCCGAGACCAATGCGCTCAAAGAAGTCGGGCTGCCAGCCTTTGTCGGGAATATAAGAGCACTTGCATGTAACCGAACAGAAGGAGCGTGTGTTATCTCCTGTTGCCTTGTATGTGAAAAAATCGGGAAGATCAAAAAATTGGCATCGGGTGAACAGAGCAGGATCCATGCGCTTCTTGAGCCAAAGAATCTTGGGCACCTCCATCTCAAGCTATTTAGAATTAGTAAGGTAGATTGTACTCGCAGCTGCTACATACACTCATGGTTCCGCCCACATAATTCAAGACAATCGACCCAGTGGAGTTGATAAGTTCAGCTTCCTTCTCGGCGCGATGATCTGCCCACAGAATAACGTTCCGATCACCATGCATGCCGATACCGCTACCCTTGGTCACTGTTATCGGACTCCCGCCAAAGTCCGACACGGCGAGAGAGCACGTAGCATCGAAGCCAAGCCCCTTGACTGCGGTTGCAGGAACGCTAGACTGCTTCAATATTTCCTTCACCGCGGTACAAATCTGCTCCCATATATTGTTCGTGGATTGCTCGAAAATACGGTAGTCATGCTTATCACGCCAGGTGATGATATCCTTCGTGGAAGATGCTTTTATCTCGCCGTTTCGTGCAACGAGAGATGCGCGAGCAGAACCGGTACCGATATCAATGCCGATGAAGTAGGGCGTGTCGGGACTCATTGGAACAGGCGAGACTATGGGGTCAGGGAGTCGGAAATGAGCAAATACATGGTTTAAATCATGTTGGAATACCCGTCAGTGACTGTCAGCAAGTACGCCATCGGACCCTGAGTCAGACCTGTCATAGTTGATAGTTGAACTTAAGTCGATTGCACTGGGTCGACCTTGCTTGATCTAGACCGTTCGACGGAAATTAGCCAAGGTTGAGCAGCCAAGGACGCTTTATTTGGAACCGTTAGTAGGCGATGCAGACCAGACTCGTGATTAGAAATAAACTTCCTTCAATGAACCGGTACTTACCGGCACTCTTGGATGGTGGTTTTATGTAATTACACAACCTTACTGATCATCATCATGTCTTCAACAACCCGTCCAATCGTTTTCATGGATATCAATATTGGAGAGACGCCAGCGGGTAGAATAAAAATGGAGCTTTTTAGTGACGTCGTCCCAAAGTTTGCGGCTGCTACCCGTGGCTGTATGTTGTTCTGATCAAGTTTACAGAACTGCTGAGAACTTCAGGCAGCTGTGCACCGGCGAATGCAGGTATGTCCAGGCCATGAAGATACACAATTCTTTATGAACGCCTCAAGATTAGACGTGATGCACGACCACAGGGTTACAAGAATGCAACTTTCCACAGGTAGTCATCACCGCAACCTCGAGTTATCGATTTTTGCTGATGGATTCTACGCAGAGTGTATGATAACATCTTCTTGATGTTCATGATGATTAACGCGTGCGCCTAAGCGTACCGAATTTCATGTGCCAAGGTGAGCATACCTGTAACAATATCTTTTTCGGCCAGCCAATCCCATGTCTGCCTGTAGGTGGTGATTTTTTGAACGGTGATGGAACAGGATCGTTCTCGATATATGGAAAGAATTTCCCTGTAAGTGTACTTGTGCTCTTCATGGCGCGGCGTGCAAGTTGACTTTGCCCCACAGGATGAGAACTTCCAAGAGAAGCACATTGGACCCGGCTTACTTTCCATGGTTTGCTGTGTCTTCTCCGTTCGCAAACATTTATTTCATAATGATTTGTAGGCAAATTCGGGCCCAAATACAAACGGATGCCAGGTATTGCTCCCTACAATTCCGCATTTCTACCTCGATCCTGATCCTTACAGTTTTTCATAACCACGGCAAAATGTGATTTCTTGGACGGAAAGCATGTGGTTTTTGGCAAGGTTATCGATGGCATGTTGACACTTCGTAAAATCGAGAATGTCCCTACAGGACAGAATAACAGACCAAAATTGGTCGTGAAGATAGTTGGTATGTGGTCGATTTAACACTTTGAAAAGGTGTCTCACATGTACATCGCAGAGTGTGGGGAAATGTAACCGCCTGTTCACAAAAATATCGACGGGAGAATGAATGCGATTGATCGCCTATCCGAGCGGAAAGGCTCGAGTTGATTGGACCCATACATTGAGGACTTGTCGCATCGGCGGATGTAAACTTAGCATAGACATTCATTGCATGTACTATTTCCATAATTCATTCCTTTACCGAGTAAATGGTGAGAATGCAAGACGTCATGATACCTAGAGCTTTGGTTCATTCAATGCCAGTCAGGAAACATAGATTTTGGTTGTGGTGGAAGATACATGGGCTTATCAATGGCCATAATGAATAAGTGACTAGTGATCTAGTCCGATGCGGTTGTCAGCCGGGCTAAATGGAAGGTCAATTAACCTCATCCATAATATGAAACATCGAGAAGAACGCACTGTAAATGAGCTGGCTAGAGCGATGCACAATGCGCTTGATCAAGCCCTCCTTCTCCAGATGTCTGATGGCAACGCGTGCCAAGCTTCCATTGACCTTCAATCGCTCAATGAGAATGCTCTGGCTGATGAGACGCCAGGTGGGAGCTTCCTTCATGATACGGTCGAATGTAGCTTTGTCACAGACGACGGCGTGCTGTGCCTTGTCCTTGACCTTTCCCTTCGACCACTTCTTCTTCTTAGCAGCTTTTCCGCCCGATGATGATGGTGGTGGTGCTTTTGCCTTGGCCTGAATCAAACGTAGTCAGCACCACATCTACATGCTTGATACGACATCCAAGGGCTGCAATACTATGAACATCCTGCAGTCCGAAGAACCGGCATGTTTCATGCTCTCTGCCCTGGAAATCATCATCAAGGGAGAATACTCACCATAATGTCGTGGCCTCTTCGTCAATGTCGATGAACTGCACCTTGGTCTGGCCTGCCGCCAATCTCTCGGCGAAATCCGGTTATTTAGGCGCCGCATCAAATGCACTGACGTAACTGTGGCACCGATCATGTTGAGTTCAGTGGGAGAGAGTTAACAAGTATCCCACTGAAGTTTGGGTCGACAATGCATCCCTGGCTACTCCTTGCCCTCGCCCTTCCATCATTAGCAGCACTCGACAAGACCCACGGTGTCCCTCCCTCTCTCATATCGAAATACGTACCCAGCACGAAGGGTTCGCGCCAGACATGGACGTGTTTAGACGGTTCAAAGGAAATTGCCTGGAGTGCAGTAAATGATGATTATTGTGATTGTCAGGATGGCAGCGATGAGCCAGGTGCGAATCCGGGTAGTTATGGTCAGGTAACTAAGTTGTATTGACGTAGTTCTATGTTCTGTAAGGCTCGAGTGCGTGTCCCAATAACAAGTTCTACTGCCGCAATGAGGGCCATATTGGGGCAACCATACAAAGCTCCCATGTTAATGATGGCCTTTGCGGTAAGTTTATAGGCGTGGTAGCGTGAGTTCGTGATACTCATCTGAACATAGAGCAGGAATGCTGTGATGGATCGGATGAGCTCCCAGGCATGTGTCCGAACACTTGCCAGGAAGTCGGAGCAGAACACAAAAAGAAAATGGAAGCAGAGCGGAAGCTGCGAAAGACTGGATCCAAGATACGATCCTCATACATTGCGTACGCGCATAAGGAGAAAAAGCGCTTGGAGACACTCATTGCTGATCTTGTCAAAGAGATTGAAACGAGAGAGAAAGAGGTGGAGAGATTACGAGGTATTAAGTTAGTTCAAGAGTCGAGAGCTTTTGTGGTAACACGGCCTTTTTCAGACATTGCAGAACGCGCAGAATCCCTCTCGGCTGCTGAGTTGGAGCATAAGAAACAGTCCCGTACGTGTGTCCTGACATACTCCCTGTAATCTTGACTCGCAGGTATCTTGCAGCCCTCTACCAGTCACTCCTCGTACATAATACCGCACTCAAGTCCCTTCAGACAGAACACAAGAAGCACCTGGAACGCGAGAAAGCTCTTGGTGACATCTTGACCTCACTCCGCACGGGCTATAACCCTAACTATCAAGATATGGCCGTCCTCGAGGCTGTGCGCGGCTGGGAGGCACTAGCAGGACTACCTCACATAAACGACGTACGCAAGGGTGACGATGGGGAAGCTGACGCTACCACGGAAAAACAGAAAACAGAGGACGATGTTGAAGATGAAGGTCTCTGGAATGCAGCAAAGATCGAGAAGGAGTTGGATCAGTTAATAAAAACCGATCATGTGACGCTGCTGCTAGAACATGACCAGCTTGTCGGGCCTGCTTCGGCCCAGTCCCTCTGTAAGTTAAGAGTAATTGCTGATACCTCAAGAAACTGACCAGGTTTAAAGTGCTTGACATCTCAGCCTACCTTCCAGACGCTCTGCTCCCATCCTATTATAGTTTCCGCGACTCGGTCCTCTCAGCGCTATCAGTTTTCGGGATCGGACACGGAGGCACATCCGACACGTCTGCTGGTAAGTATATGCTATATGACTGAATGTGTGTGCTCATTCCACCTCAGAATCAAATCGTGCACGTGTAGCCCTGTCGGACGCGGAACACAGCCTCAAGCTGACCCAGGACGAGCAACGAACTGCAAATGAAGACCTCATGGATCTCTTTGATCCTGATGGCTTTGGCCCAGAAGGCGAGTGGAAAAAACTTGACGGCACGTGCCTATCAAAGGATACTGGAGAGTGAGTGTTGTTGCTTCAAATTACTTGGAAGCATACCCACTTTTCAAAGGTACACTTACGAGGTTTGCCTCTTTGACGAGGCGAGGCAAATTCCCAAAAGCGGTGGTTCCGGCTTCAGTCTCGGGTATGTTGTTTGGGTATAAAATGCTATGAAGGTACTTATATATGTGCCTTCCAGGAAATTCTCGTCCTGGAACAAGGCTGCTCGACCTGGTGAGCCAGAATATTATACCCGACAGCACTATACCCAGGGGGCCAAATGCTGGAACGGCCCCCATCGCAGTGTTGAGGTGAATCCTGCATATTCTCCATTCTCTTTCATAATATTGATTTGTTCTTATAAGCTCGTCCTCACATGTGGCACTGAAAACACATTACTGACGGTGGCAGAAATGGAAAAGTGCGAGTACCAGATTACAGGCACGACCCCAGCACTATGTCGCCCGCTGGAGGACGAACACACCAAAGACGAACTATAGACTTTTGGGCATTAAGTCTAGGTGTAGTACCTCTGAATGCATGTATTTATTACGTATCAGGTTCACCTGAAGTTCTACTTCCATCCTCTCGGGACACGAGTTTTAATCAGGAAACATCAAAGTCTGAAATTCGTGGAGTCAGGGAACTCGGGGACCGCGTGCGCCCGGATTGGCATGAGCATTGGAAACGATGTCTTGGGCTTACCGGTCACCTAGTGTATCCCCGAGGCCGACAGTTGTGAAAAAAAAATATGAATTTGAACTAACTAATGAACTGATAGGGGACTCTTCAGCCTCGTGTGACAAGTGAGGCCATCATTAATGTATTGAGGACCTACTTGGCATGGGAAGCCTGAATAATGGCAGAATCAACGGACGTGGCAAAATATAACTGGAAGATGAAGGAAGTACTTTGATGCATCCTAATTCAATTCCATTAATTGTAATAACCACTTTATAAGCCAGGACACTTGACACAATCTTCCAACGAACTGTGCATGAGTGAATCTCTCCGGGGCAATAGCAAAAAAAGCTTATCATCCAGTGGTTTTGAATCATTGGTTCAAGCCCCACAGATTTCAATTCTGCTGTGGCAAATTATTGGCCCGGCAACTTCCTAACAACTGTACTTACAGAGAACTGTGCATGAGTGGATGTTAGGGTGATAGCCAGCAGGACCTGTAGTACCTTGTTCATAAAGGAGATCGTCATCTAGATAACCTCGGATGCGCCAACGTTCGTGCTATTCCTGTCCGTTAGACGCAGGTCCTGCGTGTCAAAGACAAAAAAAACCCACACTGGCACCGCAGAACAAGCCCTAATTATGATATGATATTGGGAAACTGCAAGAAAGCAAGTTTCGGCACCGAGTACATGGCCAGCGAACAAGGATGCCATCGTTCGAGTTTCTATAAGGACAGATGCTAAATAAATATACACTGCCGAAATATGAACTTAAGGCGAGGTATAGAGACACTACTGTACGATATGACTGCAATGCCGTGATTTGGATGTAGGTCGTGCACTGTAAAAGGTATGAAGAAGTATTATGGGCTGGTCGAACAGATATCCGGAAGCAAAGGTTAGGAGGTGTCGCAGGAAATCGTTTGGTAACAGTCTAAGGGCTCGCCATCCCAATATCCTCACTAATTTCTCGTACAAGCCGCCGGGCTTTCAATTCCGGCGTAATGTCACCTCGTTCTCTCTCTTTATCTTCCACCCTGCTCTGCCTACACTCGTCACTCTGCTCTACGGTGGCAGCGCGGAACTCGCCGGCACTCTCGTACTCCTCGGCGTCTCCACAGATTGAACTCGAAGAGTTGGGTGGCCGAATCGTCGGCTCGTCATCCGTCGTGTAGCCACCCTCCGTTTCGGTCTCTGTGTCAGTTTCGGTGCTGACAATGCTCGCAGCATCATCGTCGCGCGTGCGTACAGCACGCATACTGGGCGTCCGATCGGGCGCCACTGAACCACCATACACATCAATAGCGCCCATAGCCCGTGCCGGGCCTGATACTGCGGTAGGTGATGAACGTGTCTGAAACGTTGATTGATGTGAACGTGATGGAGTTACAGGGCGGGGCACGGAAGGCGATTCTGGTGGCTGTGATTGCGAAAAGAGGATAAGCTGTTCTGCATATCTTTGCATCTCCTCAGGCGATATGACGAGTCTGAAGTCGTTGAGAAGCAAAAACTGGAGTTCGAGTTGGTTGAGCTCTGCTTGAGGGAGACCTCCGACCTGAGTAAAGATAGCGAGATGTGGAGTGGAGTGAATATTTTGAACAGGTCTGTGAAGTTGAAACCCACCTTCGCATACCGCGAATTAGTGTAGAATACATCGCTGAAAAATTTACTGGCGACTGTGACGCCAGCAATGACAAGTCTATGGACGTTATACGAGTCAATAACAAACGTGCGCCCCGTAGCCTCGGAGGCGAGGCGAGACATGCGGTCAAAATACACGAGGAGGGCTAAAAACACCTCGTTTGTAGTTGGACAATATTTGAGTATTCGTAAAAGGTATGATTCGAGTGCGATAGTTGGAATGTTGCGAGCATGGAAAGTGAGGGCGGATGCAGGATTTGACAGAGAGGAACGGGAAGCGGAGGTAAGGGAGCACCAAATAGGGGAACGAGATGCATCTTCTGATATATTGTTATGCGACAGACCTGCCAAAGTATGGGATGCTGGGTCTGAACCTGAAATTACATCGTTGGTGGATGCAATCTGGGTAAGAAGTGAAGCAAGGAGACGAAGCAAATCGGTTGAGGGGTAGCTATGAACGTCAAAAGATGAAGCAGAGGTTGGTAGGTTTATTTGAGGTGGAGGAATTGGAGAACCAGCTCTTGGAGGGTTATCAGGGGGAGGGACTTTGGTTGTGGCTACTGGAGATTCGGATGTTGCCTGAGTTGACTGTACGGCGTTATGCCGAATTGGAGAAGAGTCTTTTGTCACAACTGAAGATCCAGAAGTCGATCTGCGTGGTACTGGTTGGCAGTAGGACGAAGATGGCTGAAATACAGCGGTAGTTGTCGATGCTTGCGGTTTCCAATGTGGAACTCTGCTAGAACTTGGTCGACCGGTGGATGAGGATGAAGTGGTTCTAGGTAGACTTGAAATATTTCTGTCGACGCCAGTTCTATCGATAGTTCTAGCTTCTGTCGGATGGGCGAGAGCGAGCATGATTGAAGACGTTGAAGAGGACCTAGCTAAGTTGAGCGCTCAAGCAATCACAAAATGTAAACAATCTTCTTCTACCCCGTGGGAATAGATTACTTAGCGTGTGAGACTGAGACAATTCGTATGTGGCGTTTTGATTGGGCTGTCTTTCATCCCTCCGAGTTCCACAAATCATTAATGTATTTCTGTGTCTTGTGTCCAATCAAACTCCCAACGTTCGTGGTACACGGTGATCTCCGTCAAGTATTTCCATTACTATGCGCATGTATTATACATTCATACCGGCAGGGCTTCGCTCATTTTGATTCGTCGGATGAAGGATCGAATAACCATCCTCCACGGCGATCCCGCTCGGTGGCGTCGCACGTCATCATTCGCCTTTCGCTTCGGGAGATCATTGTTACAACGGCGGTTCCCACTGACGGCGTTCACCGTGCGGTGACATCGTGGTCGCCATTTTGCAGGAAACTCGCGAATAACAATAACTTTGCTGACTATTGCAAGAACCGTAATTTCTCTCGCGGCCACCGTCGGTGCCTCGGGTAATTGCAAATCAGTAGCTAGCCTGGGCTTTTCAATTGGGTGCCCTTGATACTCCGAGGCCTTATATGTATTTTAGGACTCGCGACCGCTTGCGTGGCTGCGGGTGCAAGGAGGTAGCTATCTTGTCCTTGCGGAGCTCTTCTACTCCACATCAGCCCAATTTCTTCGGATCCTAGACTCTCCTGGTGCGGTTTCTGATTACTTTTTTCAGGTAGCGGAAATACGGACAAATTGAACGCCGCACAGGTGCGCAGAAATTACCATTGGCTTTCAAGCTCGTGAATAGAAGTCTGCATAGCAATTTGAACGATCGCCGATCGTGATCAGTGCCTTAAGCTTGGACTGCCTCGTGTACTCTGTGATATCGACAGCGCACTCGGACAATTAAGACTTGGGGACAACTGCACGAAGTCAGTCCACACATAAGCATATATATATAGACGAGTCAAACTAGCTGCTATTGGCCTTGTAGTAACAGTGTCTTGCTTCCCGAGTCCGAAAGCTCTATGCCGACCAGCACGTGTGATATAGGACCGTATTAGTCAAACCTGAGTTCGCTGGCCGAAGGAAACCAAAACTTGACAATACTATGTTCATCACTTCATGATCGCTCATAAAAACAAACTTTAGTTGAGTTCTAAATCTGACTGGACGACCTGACACAACTCGGTGCAAAGTTCAACAAACTCTCACGGCCTTGTGGCACTCGTTCAGTGAGTCAATCACATGGATCCGGAACCAGTACTTATCAGTATCAGGGAAAGCAAGGTTGCCAGCAGCATTATGCCTTTTAAAGAGTTCACGCTTGATGATATCGCTAAGGTGAGCACCAGGCCTCGCTTTGCGTTCTAGCGTACGCTGAATACGTTTACAGCATAACAAGGAAGGGGACCTCGTGCGTGCTATAACTTCAAGGCTATCAATCGACTATTAATCATATGCACAGTGGATTGTCATAGACTCTAAAGTTTATGACCTATCCCGCTTCGCAGACCTTCACCCAGGAGGCGCAGGCGTGCTGTATACCGATAGCGTTGGCAAGTGCAGCAGCTTCTCCACTCAACTCTCATATTCATATCGATTCCAGCTGGGAAGGATGCTACTCAGGTGTTCTTCGGACTTCACAGACTTGAGGTTCTTCAACGCCCTCAGTATGCCCGTCTCCAAATAGGAGCCATTCGCGGACAGACTGAAAACATCAAGCCTCTTGGTCCTGGGGAGCTGTCTCTTGTGCCCTATGCTGAGCCCACGTGGCTCACACCTGGATACTTCAGCCCTTACTATAGTGATAACCACCGCAAATTCCACAAGGCTATGAGGGCATTCTTGATGGAGTTCGTACAACCTGAGGCAGTTAGATGCGAGGAAAATGGGAAGAAGATATCGCAAGAAGTCGTGGATAAATTAAGGCAAACTCCCCCGCGTGAAGCTTGCGTAACTCGTTTAACAATGACACCACAGCGAGATAAATTTCCTGGCTATGCGCCTAGGACCAGGCAAGCACCTCAAGGGACTTACCTTGATGGGTGGCATCGTGAAGCCTGAAGAATACGACTACTTCCATGAAGTAAACATGCTCCTCACAAAGCATCCTCTTTACTCACTTACATGACTTTATAGCTCATTCTTAACACTGAGATTGCGCGGTTTGGCACACGAGCATTCGTGGACGGCCTCCTGAATGGCGGGGTTATTGCCCTCCCTCCCATTATTAATTTCGGAACTCCGGAACAACGAGCCAAGTTTGTACCCGACATTCTGGCTGGCAAGAAGTACATCTCCCTTGCTATCTCGGAAGCGTTTGCAGGCAGCGACGTCAACGGCGCGCAAACTGTTGCAGTGAGAGACGGTGATGAGTGGGTTGTCACTGGAACTAAGAAGTACGCATGTATGGTTCGAGCTACTTCATTAGAACGGATTACTCATGGTCGTTACAGGTGGATAACAAATGGGACCTTTTCGGATTACTTCACGACACTATGTAAAACAGACGTATGTTTACTTTTTTGTTGATCCCCTTCTGAGTTCTCACCACCATTGCAGGCCGGGTTTGTTGTTTTGCTCGTTGAGCGCTCGGATGCTGTATCCACTAAACCGGTGAAAACGTCATACTCCTCAACTGCTGGAACTGCATTTGTCACATTTGACAAGGCACGCGTGCCGGTTGCCAATACCTTGGGTCAAGTCGGGAAAGGCATATCGATTATCTTTAGCAACTTCAATCATGAGCGGTGGATGGTCACCGCCTCGAGTCTTGGTGCGCAAAGACTTGTGGTTGAAGAGTGTTTGAAGTAAGGGCGCATCACAAGCTATTCTTCAAGTCTTTCTGACACTTGTGCATTGTTTCAGGTGGACGAACCAACGGATTGCCTTTGGGAAACCTCTTCATGCTCAGGCAGTTATCCGCGCTAAACTTGCGGCAATGATTGCTCGCGTGGAAGCCAGCCAAGCATGGGTAGAGAACATCACGCATCAAATGAATAATGTTAGTCTCTATATTCTCTGAGTGCTATTGCCCTAAAGTAGAAAATTTAGATGTCCTATGACGAACAATCCGACAAACTCGCTGGGCCTATTGGATTGCTCAAACAGTATGCGATGTCCGCTTCCGTTGTTCCGGTGCTAAACTGATGGACTGTGATGTAGATTTGTATCAAAGGCTGGTCGTGAAACCGCCCAGGATGCAACTCAGATTTTCGGTGGTCGGGGTATCACCGTCACGGGTATGGGCAAGATCGTTGAGAACGTACGTCTGGACTTTGGGTCTTCCTCAGCGATGTGATGTTAACGGATGTTATATCAAGTACCATCGCACGTCACCTTTTGATGCCATTCTTGCGGGTGCAGAAGATGTGCTGGGGGATCTTGGTGTGCGGCAGGCTATTAAGAGGATGCCTAAGAATGCCCGGCTGTGAACATTCTCGTACTGGGCGCTGAGTTTCTGCTGTTTAATTGCTACTTTTGTTCATGGGGTCTTAGATTGATGTCTTATGGTCGTGTCGGTTGCGTACCACAGGGATTTTGGACATGCTCTCATTTAGTCAGGCGTGTTATATCAGTAAAATCTGTGAATAGAAGAAGTTCGCATACTTTGTACATTGTACAGCACCTGTACAGGTCCACTAGATGGAAAGACATTTGCGAGCATTGTTAACTTTCGTTATAATGTCGTTCGTATCACGAAGATCGAGAAGGCTCGTTGGGAGGAGGGAAAGGAATATATTGGCCCAGGAGCACAGTATATATAAGTGCAAAGATGACAGCGTTAATTTGCAATCGTGGTGATCTACGCATACGCCGGTCCATGCTCCCGACATTCTAATTTGCTGGCAGACATGAATCTATTATAATTGATGTCATAGCTACCCTGAGTTGTGTCTGCGGCTGCCAGGCGGGCAGAACTATTTTGTAGGTGCCAACGCTGATGTAGGTTCCGAAACTGATCCAAGTGTCAACATTGATGTCACAGACTCAGGTGCTGACATGGACTCCGGTGCAGACACAGATGGAGGTGAAGTACCGACAACGATAGAAATTCTAGCTCGGGAGGGTGAGGTGCGGGACGGGTTTTGACCAGGAAAGGTGGGCTCTTGGAGTGATGAATAGCCATAATCGTAGCGCCACACCAGGAAGGTATTTGAAGGTGTACCTTTTCTTCTCAGAATGATTGATGTAATGAAGAAGGCGGATTTAGAGATGATATTGAACTGGTCGGTTTGTGTACTTTACAGGCTTTTGTGCACTGAAAATGACACAATAGGTGTAGCTCGCTGTATGACATGGACATGACGCGGCTGGGCTCGAAACACTAATATGATTGTTGGAGTTGATGCGGTCTCCCGTAGTTAGACTAGTCAGCCCTCGAAGATAGTCACTGCGGGAGCTGTGAAATCTATTGCAATAATAAGTATCACTGTCCTAACTATTCTCGGCCGGTCATCGACGCCAGTGTAATTGTGTTGACACATGAGAGCGAACGTCGCTGTGCAGTCAGGTGTGCGGCGTTAAGTCAGCATGTCACCTCGAACTCTATAGGTGTGAGAGCTCAAGGGCAGAAAACTGGTGCATTGCAGACTACATACATAGAAGTCCACTCTATGACAACGAGGTATGCGTTGGAGGAATCGTGCGTAGTACGTACTGGATGCGACGGGTCCAATGTGCTAGGAGATCAAAAACAGATCTCTCTTCATCGTGAGCCACTCGGGAACGTAATTTCCAGTTGCTGAAACCCTGACGTATAACCTGGAATCGAGAAAAAACTTCATCCATGTTTGGACGCTGTGCTGGATCCGAGTGCATCATGTCCGATACCAGACCGCTCAGAAATTCTACACCTGTGTACTCCTGTTTTGTGCAAATCAGAGCATGAAAAACCAGAAGTCACTGTTACACTTTACGTCGAGAAACGTTTCTTGGATGGCATGCCCAAGATACCAAACATCGGTTGGGAAAGGGTTCCGAGGTTTGAAGTTGTCTTCATTGAATTCAGGTACTTCTTTATCTCCACCAAATATCGGTGCTTCTAACGGGTTGGTGTTGGACGCCTCATATTGGCGGGAGATACCAAAGTCTATGTAGTAGTATCGTGGAGGAGACTTTGTGCGCGCACGATGCCTCGCCACGCGTTTGTAGTCCTCCGACATATACTGGTCGCTTGCATGCCATGCGTCTATGAATATACTGTCGTCCATTAGGATGTTTAGCTGCATGCAATCTCTAAACCCAACCCATGAGACAAGTCACTGGAGCAAGTTGGATGCGTACCGGTGAGCGACATGATGCCTGTGCATGAAGCGCAGCCCCTTCAATTTAAAGAAAGTGAAAATGGATCAGTCATAATCAGTCAATTAAGAAGATCTTACCTCGAAAAGCTGGTGGATGCAGTCTACAACTTCCCCGACCGTGTCAAAATAGGGATCTGTAGCATCTCGAAGTAACGGCATGACAATTATCACGGTATTATCTTCGGCGGGCACCTTCAGAACATCGTAAATTGGAACGCAATGGTTGGCTGGATCACTGCTAAGAGGGTGGGTAGAAAAATAGCGACCTATTTCTATCTCATAAGGGTGTCGTGATATATCGATACGCTTGAGTGATACGCGAGCACCGTCTTGAATGCGCCGTGCATCCAATACAAGATAATGCTAAAGGAGACAAGGTAATTGATGAGCACTGCTATTATCAAAGTACCTACTGGTGACGCGATTCCATCCTCGCAGTTTATGTCAGCTTTGTTAGCGTTCGTCCAAGAGGGGACCCAATCTGGACTGTAGCGACTTCGCAGCTTATAACCCTTTTCTGTGAGGAAATTGTAGTGGCTCCTCCACCAAATCTCATATTCAGAAAGATGAGAATGAGCAGCGGAGGTCGAGGCCATCCTCCCGAGTTGTGGTGTAGATTAAAAGTAAAAGGTGTCAAAGCGATACAGAACAAATATGGACCTACATATGTAATTCGGACCCCGGCACTTCGCGGACTTTAGAACCAACTTGATATAATAGTAGGCTGTAGCAGGCCGCCATGACCCCATGTCAAGTTACGTCTCAATAATTCATATATCCGGCTGAGTATAGGTATCTGCAAAGTACCCTGATAGGGAACTCTTATCCGAACGACGAAAATATTCTATTGTATTGTTCCTTCTATCTTGAGGATTACATGAATCCTCCGAGTCATCGACAAGGTTCAAGCTCAAGCATCAGGTTTATAGCAGCTGCTTGTTGCTATACTCACATAATCTTCCCTCGAAGGAAACGAACTTGTTATATTGACCCTCGGAGCCTATCATCATCAATCGCTCGCACGAGTCTTTGTATATAACCAAGGAAATCAGCGCAACAGATTGCTCCAGCTCCCGTCAATTAGTTATATCCCATGTCTCCCCCAATGGCTACCACAACAGTTCGAATATCCGCAAACTTTGGACCTGCGAGCCAATTTGAAAACTTACCTGCGACTTTCATCCAGCTGAAGGGCCGGACAGATCACGAACAAGGCGAGATTTATCTACAATTATCGCTGACAGCCCTGCGAGAGCTGGCCGACTTGTTGGAAAACGATCGTCTCTCAGCAACTGATAAAGCTACCTACAATCGAGCTTACACCGCTGGAAAGTTTCAATATGATCAGTGAGCTTTTTCACCTAGCCAAAAGGGTTTACTATACTCACCCATCTCTACAGAGCGGTAAAACTCAGAGACCAGCTCCAGATGCGGAAGAAATCTTTCCGCAAGTTCATTGTCAACCTTTTCGTCCGTGAGTCGGATCCCAAGCACTTTCGTAAAATCACACATCGGGTTTATAAGGGCATCAAAGTAAGTCGACCAACCGTATATCGGGCATATTGAATTGCAGTTGAATCGCCATACAGAGAACTTCAGAAGACCTGGCCAGACGTTTGCTGCCGGAAAAAGATGACACCCTTGGTATGTTAGAAGGACAGTGCGAGTTCCCTCGCTGACTGTTGGCCAGTATTTGGGAGCCCAGGGGAGTCCACACAAGACCACGCCTCTGTTTGTGAGGAGAGTCTCTGTGTTGAGGTAGAAGGTATGCATCGTCTAGGCATTCTATAGCAGAATACTGAGCGTATTTTATACAAAGGCAGTCTTTCAGGTCGGCTCTATAGCTCTTTCCCTTCGACCACATCTCACGTGTAGTGGATTAGTCACCGATCTTTCTCCGAACGAAACCATCCGAGGTCTTAATGTGGATATACATAATGAACAAGAAGAACAAGAGGTCTTTGCGACGCTTAGTCGAATAGCAAAAGCTAGAGAGGCAGACGGAGAAGAAGATGCAGAATATGATGATCAAACCACCAGTATGTTTTTTTTTCCAATTATCGTCCATGATATGACTCAACGAGTTCCTTGATTTCTCAGTCAGACCCTCGCCCTCACACAGTAGACCGCCGTCTCCTAGCCTTAGCTGCTCAATCAGTGTTTTTTACAATATCAACCAAAGCGTGGTGTCTTTTGATTCAGAATCGACAGGAACAACATTGAATTTCGGAGTAAATGAAGGTTTGTCATGTTCACTGCCGATGTCATCCTGCGATGTTCAACGACAATGACAGAGATCGGCTCTGCTCGTGGTTGAACGTTCTGAACGTTGAATATTAATACTGGATACCAACGTCTCAGTTGGTTGGAATATTGTTTTGATGGTTGTGACGTGTCCAATATTATGTCTAGTCGGCAGTGCTGTACCAGTAATATATCATTGACTGGGCATTCGTGGGCCTCTGGCTAGAAAGTCATGACAATGATGATGATGATGAACGCGGGCACTGCAATTACGTCTTTACTTCCAGTGTCGGTTCGAACTCCGGCATTAATGATGTTTCACACAAGTGTCAGTTGAACCAGTTCCTATTCCGCGAGGCGGGAAAATAGGATTTATTCTCGAGGAGCGATGATTGATCGAATTTGAAATGGCACATTGTCCTTGCAAGGCGATCCACGTAACGGGCCCGTCAAGTATTTTGTATGGATCTTGTACTTACTACTGCCAAGAAGTGACAAGGTACCACTGATCGATGATCTGGCATCATGATTGCTCCTTGTTTCATGGCTACTTCTAGGTATTATTGTCCTCCAACGCAGCCACGGAGTTTGTCTTTCGTACATTGACTAATTAATGGTTCAGCGGCGCCTTGGTTATCACGGTCCCAGATGCTCAAGTGGCACAAAAATCTCACCATCTCAAGTTGGCGCACAGTCAGACTGGTTACGAGTCTAACCGTCTCTAACGTGAGATTGATAGAAAGAAAATTAAATGCATTGCAGATCAAATAATGATCTGATTTGTATGTCGCGACTGAACATGAATATACTATAGCTTGTACTTACATCGGGGTTAAACTTGTTTAACCAAGTTGAATCGATTCACGACGCTGGTAAGCCTCATGACTCAGCGTCATTCTTACAGGCCCCTTTTCATCTGGATATTTAAGTGTCTAACTGACGTGATCCGTTTTCACGTCGCACACTTGTCCCCTAAAGCACTTCTGCTCGTGCACGTTCTGCACTATCTACTCTATATATTTTTCGTCAAAACTTGAATTTAAACGCTGTTGAAATTCGGTCATACTTCCAAAACATATGTCAGACCCGAGTACCTCAAATAACAATGCCGCCAACTTGTCGCAAACACAATCTTCGCTTAGGGGACCAGGAATGCGAGGGACTTCGGTTGAGACCGACACTGATGGAGCGCATCTACCCCAACAAGACGTGGCGAAGAGGTGCCTTGACGTCGTCAGAGAGTTTAGAGCATGCAAGTGCACAAAGTTTGAAGCTTCCTACGTCATCTCCACAATCATCAAAGAAAGTCTACCCCTTGGATCAGGTGAAAATCCCATTACGGTTGCGGCTATCTACCTCGGAATGCTCGACGAATGGGAGTCGGAGCAAGACCAAGCCAACTACAGAGGAGCAGGAGCCGGAGCCGCTAGAGAACGTTCGGTTGAACCAACGTCGAACTCGCGGTTCGAAAAGGAGTCTCCAGCAGAGATTAGGAGTCGGGATGTTAGCATTGAGCCAGGAGAACCTGCTCAAAAACGAGCAAAGCTCGACTTTACCTGTCTTGAACTTAAGCCATCAGTCCTCGAAGAACCCGCCAAACCATTATCACCCAATCTCAAACTCACCATCTGCATCTTACAGAACTGGGCACAGGATCAGAAACAAGCTAAGCTCAAACTCATGTACCATGAACGCAGCCCAGAATTTCATGAGTCAGGATGGGCGGACATCGTTGCAGGACGAAGCATCAATCTCGACGCCATCCACACCATCATCACCACTTCATGAGCCGTTGACAAGCACAAGGAGACCATTGGGGACGTTGAGCTCACCTATGGAGTATCAGAGACGGCCACGAAGAAGATCACTACACAAGGCCAATGGAACGCGGCATGGAACAGGGCTGCACGAGCCCTCAAATTCGCTTTCCCGTTCAGACAGGCTGAACTTAACGCCTACTCCGAGCACATCAACGAGCAGTTCGACCAACAATTGGAGAGTTACCATGGACGCGTCCTCCGATATGACAAATCAGTCAGATTTAGAGTCGGAAACACTCGAAGGTATGAGTTGTCCGACTTTGAATGCTTCAAAGACATCTACAGCTCCCATTTCTCCGCCGGAGGAAGGTTACACAATGACTCGGGAGAATCTAGCAAAGCCACGGGAGCAGGACGAGATCTTCTTGTCAAAAGAGAACCATGTCGCAAATGGAATAGTGGCGAATGCACCCGCAGCGCTGCCACTTGTCGCTACGTCCATATCTGCAACATTGAACAGGACGGCCGGTTGTGTGGACGCCGTCATGTCAGATCAAAGCATAACGAAGATCAAACCAAGTCAAAATCAACATGAGGCATATCTCAAACGTCCGCGTTTTCGTCGAGGTTTGGTTTGGTCCCCCTTAGACGCCTCGTTCAGCCCAACTGCTCGGTCTACAGAGTATGCGGACCCTGTACCAACTGCGCCCGCTTATTTAGCAGATAGTGATGCTGCCCACACGGTCGCGGCTCACCCAGAACTCTTCAAGATAATAACACCAATTGTTACGCACTCAAATAGATCTGTTATGCGGAGCCCTAAGAGGGGCGTCGTCCGCTAATGTTCGTGACGTAACCGGAAGGGTCCGGTGTAGCGACTGAGACTGGCGATGTCGAGTCGGCAGATATCAGAGACGCGCGTGTCACGTGACTTCTAAGACGGATGTCTTCAAAGTCACTGACGTCCTCAAAGTAAGGACAGTCTTGTCCGAACGATGAGGTAGTCGATCGAGGTAGACTTAGGCGCGATGAGCACCTAAGAAAAGATACTAGAGACTGAAGCTGAGGGGGCTTCAGAAGGAAGTATGTTCGAGGGAAGATTGAGTAGATTCAAGTTAGGGAATCTAGTACAGAGTGACCGACTACTTATACTAAGTGGAAAGGGTTAAGGGCAAGGCTACCGTACTGTAGGTAAGGGCAAAGGGGAAACGGAAAGGGTATAGGTACGCTGGTAGCAGAGCCTGATTAGTGATGTAAGGTCGAGTGCGGAATGAGACCAAGAAACGTTGGAACGAGCCAACGGTAAATGATACAATGTGCAGCATGCACGAGTCAAAGGAAAGATAAGACAAGATAAGGAAAGCCACATTGGTGGCACGAGTCAGAACGAGTCATAGCCCGAAGGCACGTGCGCACGTTGGTGCGATAGGAGGGGGGGACGAGGGACGGGAACGGTCCCGAGGATCCGGTCAATGGATAGTCGGTAGAGAAGTACAAGCCGGAGGCATACGAGGGCGAGGACGAAGGGGAAAAATGATAGGGGGGCCATGTAGCCGATGTTACTTGTAACATTACCCCCGTTTCAAGGTAGAGTTCCACGAACTCTTTAATCGTCGTCCAGGGGAACGTAGTTGTCCTGGTTGTTATACCACTCGGGGTCGAAGTCGAGGTCTTCGAGCCAGGAGGCGGCTTTGATTGCGTTCTCTTCGCATTCTTGCTCAAGGCGAGCAGCGTCCTGGTCATACGCAGCTTCGAGCTGCTGCATGTCCCTGTAGAACCGGTCGGAAGAGGTTCCATGGCGAAGGATCTTTCTGCCGTCGAGTCGAGGGCAGAAGGGAGTGAGATGTTTTGGGGCAAATTGCCCACAAATGTGGCAGAAGTATTGCGCGCAGTGTTTCTGTTTGTGTCCAAAGACACGACACTGGCGGCAGACAACGTTGCTGCGGTAGACCTGGGTGGTCTCGGTGGCATCACGACGCGCGTTGTTGATGGCGTCTTCCTGGGCTTCCTCGCGAGGATAGTGCCTAGTGAAGTTCTGGGTGCGCGGGCGATGCGCGTGGGAGAGGGGTAGTCCTAGGGACAGGATGGATTGTGCGCGAGCACGGTGATTTCGGCATTGCGGAGTGGGAAGAGGTTCCGGAGAACCAATGGAGAGATGTGGGACCACTTCAGTGGGTACCCAATCGTCGGGGTTGAGAACGGGTGGTTCGGGAGGGCATTCATCCAACTCTGGGATGATGATAGAGATGGTGTTGACATCGCGGATGGGGGAGGGGTTACGTGGAGCGTAGAGCTCGCATTCGTATTCGTTATAGAGACGGTCGATCTCGGGGTTGGTCAGCTGGGTGACGTTGGGGATATGCTCTGGTGATTCAGAGCGGGGTAGTTGGGGAAGGAAGGGGGTCGGAGCTCTGTCATAGACAGCACGCTCGACGACTGCAAGCGGGTCGGGAGGGGGATTAAATGCCCGCTCCTCCTCGACGGCCATGACAGCGGCATGGAAGTTCCTGAGCTCAAACAGATTTAGCAAGGCTCGCTTGATCTTGCCTTGGTTATATCTGGTCGAGACGGTGGATAGGGAAGTCTCCCTAGCCAGGTCGATCCTGGCGATATCGCCGGTGAGGGTGTCGGTGGCCCTGAAGGCCTGGACGAGGTTCGTGGTTATGTCGTCGTTGGTGCGGTTGAGATAATTGTCGAGTCGAATTGCATACTGGGGGTCGCAGATGACTGCTTCCCAGTAGGCCCGTTGCCTATCTTGGACAACTGAGCGAAGGGATGGTCGTCAGAAGACGGTGTATCCCGGGGGGGAGGGCCTATCATGGCCATGCGTTGGCTGGCTCATCAGGTCGTGGTCGGAGGCAGACGCATGAGAGGTAGCGGATCGGTGCGAGGAAACAGACGACGCTGAGACCGACATAGTGAAGCGTCTTTCCTTGGGTAGTGGCGTAGGTGGGGTATTGGGTAACGGGTCGCTGTTTGTCGATGGGTTTGGGTTTTGTGGGGCGGTGGCGATTGCGGATTCGTTGGCGATGGAAGGTTTTGGTGTCGGTGTGGATGGGTTCGTCGGTGGGGTCAGCCCTAGTGTAGTGAGGGCGGTAGGAGAAGTTGCAGTGGCGTTTGTTGATCAACATGAGATGGCGATTGAAGCGATCTTGAGTTGCTTCTTATACGCCTTCAGGAGCTCCGCTGCGGACTTCAATTCTGTTTCGGGGAGCCACGTTCGTTCGGAGGCAGGATAGCCAACCCAAGACACGAGGTACCGGCAACGCGATCCGGTACCTTTGTGTTGGAGGATAGCTTCCACTTCGTAGTGTTCCTCTCCATCGATAAGATCAGGAGGAGGTTCGGTGAAATTCGGTCCATGCACGTCTGTCTCCTGATAGGAGGAAAGTTCCGAGGCATGGAACGTGGGGTGGATACGCCAGCTGGCAGGCAGCTTTAGCTGGAACGTGATGGGGGAGAGGACCTTCTGGATTGGGAAGGGTCCATATCGTTTTGGGGCGAGTTTCCTAGAAGGGAATCCGGTGATTAGGTTCGTGGCGGATAGCCATACCTTATCACCAACGTTCCATGGCTTGTAGCGCTGGCCATAGGAACGATCAGCCATGC